CATGCTGTCCCAGGTCCAGAGTCGGGCCTTCCATAGCTGTGCCAGGCCCCTAATCTGCCATAGGCCCCTATATACGCGCTCCTCATGTCTGCTGCCAGGTCCAGAGTCTCTCATGGTGTCACCTGTACGGCCTCCCATTGCTGCTGTCTCCATCGCCACACTTGCCATGTGCCACTTTCAGGTCTCCTCACACATGCTGGTGTGTTGAATTTTTTGACATAGGGTGCTGGCAGATTATGGGCCTCCTATAGCTGCTGCCAGGCCCCTAATCTGCCATAGGCCCCTATATACCGCCCCTCCTCATGCTGCTGCCAGGTCCAGAGTCTCTCATGGGTCCCCTGTACGGCCTCCCATTGCTGCTGTCTCCATCGCCACAACACTCTGCCATGTGCCACTTTCAGGTCTCCTCTCACACTGCTGGTGTGTTGAATTTTTTGACATAGGGTGCTGGCAGATTATGGGCCTCCCATAGCTGCTGCCAGGCCCCTAATCTGCCATAGGCCCCTATATACCGCCTCCTCATGCTGCTGCAGGTCCAGAGTCTTCATGGGTCCCTGTACGGCCTCCCATTGCTGCTGTCTCCATCGCCACACTCTGCCATGTGCCACTTTCAGGTCTCCTCACACACTGCTGGTGTGTGTAGAATTTTTTGACATAGGGTGCTGGCAGATTACGGGCCTCCATTAGCTGCTGCCAGGCCCCTAATCTGCCATAGGGCCCCTATATACCGCCTCCTCATGCTGCTGCCAGGTCCAGAGTCTCTCATGGGTCCCTGTACGGCCTCCACAGCTGTCTCATGCCATCTGCCATGTGCCACTTTCAGGTCTCCTCACACTGCTGGTGTGTGTAGAATTTTTTTGACATAGGGTGCTGGCAGATTAAGGGCCTCCCATAGCTGCTGCCAGGCCCTAATCTGCCATGGGCCCCTATATACCGCTCTCCTCATGCTGCTGCCAAGGTCCAGAGTCTGTCATGGGTCCCTGTACGGCCTCCCATTGCTGCTGTCTCCATCGCCACACTCTGCCATGTGCCACTTTCAGGTCTCCTCACACTGCTGGTGTGTTGAATTTTTTTGACATAGGGTGCTGGCAGATTACGGGCCTCCCATAGCTGCTGCCAGGCCCCTAATCTGCCATGGGCCCCTATACCGACTCCTCATGCTGTGACGTTGCAACAAGGTGGAATTCAACCCTACATATGTTAGACCGCCTTTACGAACAGCAAAAGGCCATCACAGATTTCCTGATGTTAAAAGCGGATAAAGGTATTCCCTGTGTAACTTAGATGTCAGCCATTGGCAGCTCATGCGTGACACCTGCGCTTGCTCAGGCCCTTTGAGGAGGCCACGCTATTCGTGAGTCGGCAGGACTATGGGATGAACGACGTCATTCCTCTGTTGCACGTCCTGGAACAAATGCTGTTAACAATGGCTGGTCAGGGGTGCGGTAGACGTGGCGCACAGATCTCAACGCCACATGACCCCTGTGGGGGCAGGACAGGAAGAAGAGGAGGAGGTAGAGGAGGACATTGGTGCTCAGGAATTATTGAGTGAAATGGGTGGTTTTTTTTCCACTCAGCGGACAGGAGTGGAGGAGCAGGAGCATCTGGTAGAGGAGGAGGAGGAGGAGACAGAGGACCCAGACGCACCGTGGCAGTATGCTGTGGAGATGGAGGCAGGGAGTCCCTCGCATTCCTTGGCACAAATGGCCCATAGCATGCTCGGTTGCTTGCGTAGCGACAGCCGAATAATAACCATCAGACAGAGGGATGACTTTTGGCTGTCCACCTTGTTGGACCCTCGCTACCGTTCAAAAATGGTGGCCTTTTTCACACCTGCTGAGAGGGAGGCCAAAATAACGTACTATAAAAAACCACCTATGTAGTCAGCTGGTCTCTGCCTGTCTGCGCCAACGTCCATCCTCAGACACTGTGGGCCCTGTGCGCTCGCGTTCCGCTGCCATGGCAGCAGGGGAGGGGTGGGGTGGTAGGAGCAGTGGCAGCTCCACCAGCAGCGGCTGCCTCAGTCTGCAGTCGATGATGAGTAGCTTTCTTCACCAGCGCAGTGAGGAAACTACTAACCAGCCGCAGCAGCAGCAGCAGCAGCAGCAGCATCAGGTGGACCTGGAGCAGGACCTCAAACAACAGGCTTAGGCCTACTTGGACAGCACCCTGCCAACCGAGGTAGACAATCCCCTTGACTACTGGGCAACGAAACTTGACCTTTGGCCCAAACTAGCTGAATTTGCCCTTGAAAGGCTGTCATGCCCCGGCCAGTAGCGTGGCATCGGAGCGCGTGTTTAGTGCGGCAGGAGGTATTGCAACTCCGCGGAGGACACGACTGTCCACCCAAAGTGTGGAGAGACTCACGTTTGTGAAAATGAATCAGGCGTGGATTAGTCTGGATTTCAAACCACCAGTTCCTGACACAACTGACTAAATCCGCCATGAATCATGCCCCAAACATGTGCCACTTTCAGGTCTCCTCACACTGCTGGTGTGTTCCATTTTTTGTCATAGGGTGCTGGCAGATTACGGGCCTCCCATAGCTGCTGCCAGGCCCCTAATTGCCATGGGCCCCTATACCGCCTCCTCATGCTGCTGCCAGTCCAGAGTCTTCTCATGGGTCCCTGTACGGCCTCCCATTGCTGCTGTCTCCATCGCCACACTCTGCCATGTGCCACTTTCAGGTCTCCTCACACTGCTGGTGTGTTCCATTTTTTGTCATAGGGTGCTGGCAGATTACGGGCCTCCCATAGCTGCTGCCAGGCCCCTAATCTGCCATGGGCCCCTATACCGCCTCCTCTCATGCTGCTGCCAGGTCCAGAGTCTCTCATGGGTCCCTGTACGGCCTCCATTGCTGCTGTCTCCATCGCCACACTCTGCCATGTGCCACTTTCAGGTCTCCTCACACACTGCTGGTGGGTTCCATTTTTTGTCATAGGGTGCTGGCAGATTACGGGCCTCCCATAGCTGCTGCCAGGCCCCTAATCTGCCATGGGCCCCCCGTACCGACTCCTCATGCTGCTGCCAGGCCCGTTAATCTGTCATGGGCCCCTGTTGTCGCTTGTTGGCATATTCTCGCTCGTTCAGATGCTCCTTCTCCTGCTACTCCTCTTCACGGATTCCGTCAGCAGTCTTTCTTGGAATCCGTTTTCCAAGAGACAAACAGTTTGCGAGCACGCACCCAGACGGTGCAGAAGGGCCCCCTGAACGTCCTCCTGTTCCAAGTTGCTGCTGCCAGGCTCGTAATCTGTCATGCGCCCCTGTACGCCTCCTCATGCTGCTGCTCAGGTCCAGAGTGTGTCATGGGCCCCCGTACCGACTCCTCATGCTGCTGCCAGGCCCGTAATCTGTCATGGGCCCTGTACGCTCCCCCATGCTGCTGCCAGGTCCAGAGTGTGTCATGGGTCCCTGTACGGCCTCCCATTGCTGCTGCCAGGCCCGTAATCTGCCATGGGCCCCCGTACCGACTCCTCATGCTGCTGCCAGGCCCGTAATCTGTCATGGGCCCCTGTACCGCTCCTCATGCTGCTGCCAGGTCCAGAGTGTGTCATGGGTCCCTGTACGGCCTCCCATTGCTGCTTGTCTCTATCGCCACACTCTGCCATGTGCCACTTTCAGGTCTCCTCACACTGCTGGTGGTTTCCATTTTTGTCATAGGGTGCTGTATGGCTCTCCCATTGCTGCTGCCTTCCACCGCCACACTGTGGCTCCACACTCTGGTTTTGGCCCCGTGACTGAGGTTCGACGGAGCTCACTCTTCTGCCATGTCATACTTGGACTGACAGTTTTATTTCATCTTCCCTAAGCAGACTCCCAAGGGCATTTCAATTTAAAGTGTACAGTGTTCTGCACTAATATTAAGTCTCTCTGAAGCCTAGAACACCCTTTTTTAGGTTAAATTCACAGCGAATATTATTCGACTCGATTCGATATTTTCCACAAATTTCGCCGAATCAGTCCGAATGAATTTTTGAATACTGCTCGTCATCTCTTATTTAAACCATATTGGTAGACGCTATAACTTTGAGGAGGGAAACCAATCAAATATGCAGTTATTGGGTTTTTTTTTATTTCAAAAAGATGCAGCAGAATACATACTGGGGCTATGAATGTAATGGAGCACAATTTGAATTTCTCACATTTTTTCTTTGGATATTGGTTTATTTGTTTATATCGTACAGTATTGCTTTGACCCGTGGCAAGTGTCAGTTACAAATAACGCAGTGCCGTTTTATCGCAAAAAATGGTCTAGTTAGGAAGGGGGCAAACTTTCCGAGGTCCAAAACTGGCTAAAGTCCAGTAGCTATTAGTCTGCATTCAGAAGAATGCTGCAACACTCCTTTAAGACTGCATTTACCAGGATTCCTTGGCATATCTGTCCAGCATAGTCCTCTTCTGAGGGTTCCTATTTGCTCTTACCCCCCTGCCCTCTGACTGGATCTGATCACACTGCACAGGAGAAGGGGTGGTGAGAACAAGAGCGGGAGATTTCACATAGAGCAAATGCCTAAGCTTGCTGCATGGTTCTCTGGATGAGAAGCACTGGCTTCCTTCACACACTGCACAGTTTCTCCTTTTAACATGTGGTGTCCCAGGCGGGGGGGGGGGGGGGGGCGTTTAGGTGAGCGAGAAGAGAGAAGGTGCTTAGCACTCTTACAGCCCACTCTGTGTTTACAGTAGACTGGTGGGGGCGTCGGTAGTGGGTGAAGAACACACAGAGCCACTTCAACCCTGCTGCAGATATCAACCCGGTGGGGAAGGGGGTTTGTCAGAACACATCCAACATTTACTCTGAAACATACAGCCAGAGCCACTCCAACTACAGCTGCTTTTTAGGGTATATTATAATAGCTGTCTAGTCTATCTAGCACAGGATATTCAGCCTTGCAGATGTACTCTACAACCCTATAGGACTGCAAAGCCCCTATATACACTGTCACAGCTGGAGATTGTGGATCTTCCACATGTATCCTGCATGCTTAATGGCGTTGTGCTCAAAGCACCACTATATGCTATGAGCCCTGAGCAATGTAACCGCGGTTCCCTGAGCATATTGCCTATAGTCTGCAGCCTTGCTGAAAGTAACATTGATAATAAAGAGCCTGAAGTTGCTGCAGGAACTGGTGAGGCGATGGTCATGTTAGTATCTAGTGCATGTGATTTCCAATTGAGTTGTCCTGAGGATGGACTGGAT